AATATGAGTTAACTCAATATATGCAACAAACTTTAAAAATTTAATTATTTACAGAGAGAGAGAGAGAGAGAGAGAGAAAACAATAAAAATAGGGGTATATGAGAATTCCAATTTTTTTAACCTATTTCAATATGCATATGATTGTTATTATTATTTATCAATGGTTATTACATTTATTGAAATTTTGCAAAAGCTGAAAAAATTATTTAAAAGGCTCTTCGATTTTATAGATCTCTCGTTTTTATATGCCAGAAAATCGAAACTGGATAAAAATAATATTAGTATATTAATAATATTTAGATGTTTGGTCTTTTGATGTATTTACAATCTTGTGTTCTTAATTTTATAGATTTAATTTATATAACGATCATTTTTATTTACATTTATTTCAGGACTGTCAAAATTTATACCGATTATATCGTTTTTTTTTAAAGTTTACTGTACAGTAATATTAAATTTAAATATAACGTCAATAAATTTACCGAATAGAGTTAGGAAGAAAATTTAACTATTAACAATTAAGGTTAACTAATGAAGGTAAAGCGCGGTGCCGCGCTTGTTGCGTAAATGGAGAATCTAATAAGAGAATGTCCGCGATCTAAGGAGGATCTAAAGGAGGCTAAATAGAAAATGCCTCGTACGCAAACGGAAGTGTTCGACGTGATAGAAGTGGAGAAACCATCGAGGTGCATCAAGTTTCTTCGACTATTGTGGAAATTCAGCAGATGCGTCTTCTCTCACGTGACGCTAATCTCTTTGGTGGTTGCTTATTGTCTAATCGGCGCGAAAGCCTTCGAGTCGCTGGAGGCGAATCACGAGAGGGAGGTAAATCGCAAAATTATTTGCAAACAGAAATTTCAATCTTTCTTTCTCTTTACATTCAAACTCATCTCGAAGTAGGTGTGTAAACAGCTATTTATTAAGCTTATATTTTTCTCAATCACAGGAAACGAAATTAGATTATTATTCTTAAATCTTATTTATAAATTTTTCTTCGAATTACAATAACGTAGCTTATGTCAGAATAAAGATAAAGATATCCAGTTAAGCTAATTCATCTTACTATCGATTAATAGTAGATGATGATGATAGTAGAGTTCTTAATTTAATTTTACTATAATTTGATTAG